CAGACACAAGGAGGATCAAGATAATAGGTAAAATTTCCGGCAAATTTTTTTTTAGCATCGAATAGGACTATTAGCAGTTCAGTATCAGGGTTGCGAAAACTCTTCCACATCTTACGAATGCGAAACAGTTTTCTGCAGGAACCGCTGCAAAGAAGAAATTAGGATTATGTAAATCAGCTTTGTTTCATTATTTCCTTTCATTAATACATATTTATTCTAAAATTTTATCAATAATATAATTTAGCTTATATTTAATCAATTTCCAGATTTGATTTGGACACCTAAAAGCAACCTCATCGTTTAATCAAATTTGGTGACTGATCGTCTTTATTGCTTAGCTGCGCCTGAACTGTTGCAATCAATTTTCTTCTTTTTATTTTATTTCATGATAAAAGAAGGTATTTTCTGAAGGGAGGCTTCATCAATAAAGGCAACGACGTAGTATCGGGGAGGAGGTGGGGGGTGGGGGGGGGGTTAACCATAAACAAGGAAAACATGCAGTCGGTTTAAGTCAAACTACATTTTGAGAGCTCTTATGCAAACCTTTTCGCACACCTTCGTCACACCTACAGTCATACGCGTACTGAGGCCTATCTAATTGTGCAGCATTGTTTAAAATTTTTTATTTTTCGAAGGGAATGACTCCATGACAATATTTTGGCACTCTCACCCATGACTGCTCATTTTGAACAAGGACTTAGGGTCGATTTTTGAACAGAGAACTATCCGATAATGCTGCTTTATTTACCGGATTCATAATGCATTTTCTCTGAAATAAAGCAGCATTATCGGATAATGCTCTGTTCAAAAATCCACCCTAAAATAAAAATGTCTTAGTTCAAGAAAGGACATCAGATCCAAATGAGGAACTGGAACTCTATAGAATCCATACTAAACAAAAATAACATCTCATTAATAATACACCTAATACAGTGAGAATTAAAAAAATATATATCCAAGTTTGATCGGTTTACTTTTTCCCGAAGTCCACATGACACCATGAGCCAGGGCCGTATTTAAGGGGTTCATGGGGTTCAAACCCCCCCCCCCCGAAATATCTTCCTTTAATTTTTGCCATACTGCTATTCGTTGGTGTAAACGGTGCAGTACTTGATCTTTTCTATCTTTAATAGCTTATGACTTATTAAACACTGCAGCTTACAGGAAAATCCAGATATGTCACAAAGACTTACAATGACAAGTATAAGAAAAATTGCCACAGCCCATACGCCACACCTCAACCCCCCTGAAATGAAATCCTAGGTACGGCCCTGCCATGAGCATATTATTTTCCATATTTCCACTTGGGAGTCTAGGACATGGCTTCAAGATACGCGGATAGCCCGTGAATTATGACGCAGACAGGAGCTGCATTCTGATTGGCCAGCGACGGTCTGTCGCTAGACGCATGTGATTGGACCGTCTCATGCCCGCTCCAGGTATATACGCTTTATGGGCCTGACACTCAGCTTAGACTTGGGCATAATGTGCGTTTTTGGGGTCCTTAATGGCGAGCTTAATATCCAAGACATTAAGCCTACCATAATGTATGATGTCCACGTTTGTGGACAAACAATTGAAGGAGTTATAGTAGCCGACGAAATGCCTATCAGGAAATTAGTATTGCTTGGGAGTTAGATGTATTCACTCTAAATGCATTCCAGTATTTTTCAGCTATTAAATAAATGTTTTTATTCATACAGGGACTACAGGCCGTTTTCGGGTCATGCTTATCAAACGCATGGTCATCTGACATTGCTGAGAAGTTGCACTCATTGCTTTTGTAAGGGATAACATCAAGGTAGTTTTCCTCCATAGAACCCCACTCACTTTAAATTCAATGGTAACACATAACTGCCGTACTCACCCAAGTAGCGCATAACATTGAAATAACATTGATTCAACGTTGATCCAGACGTTGAACCAATATTGAATCAATTTTGATTCAATGTTATGTGCTACTAGGGCACTGTCCAAACCTTGACCGTCGCTGTTTCAGCAAGTTTGTATTATTTTCGAATAGGAGGTAACATTTTGCCTCTCAGCTTCTTTGCAGGACTTCTAATTCAAGGCTTACCTAACCAAAAGTATGGCTCTCGCGTGTCGCATCACTTCAAATACACAAATAAGACATGGTGATAAAAGGAGGAAAAAGGGGTGCAAGTAAGAATTGTACCTCGCCCCTGTAGTGTATATTGTACCCGGAGCGGCTGTTGATGGACCTATCCCGTCTGGGAGCATCACTTCACATAAAATCATCTCCAGCCTTGGTAAGTTTTGGTCATCCAATCATCAAATATAAAAAGCAGCCTTTATGGCGTCAATTGAGAGAAATCATTTGAGCATTGCTTAGGCTCCATCCACCTCATGCGCGGAAAAGGTACATTTTACTCCACTTTGAATGACTGTTGCTTATTATTCAGACAACCTTGACACATGAAACTTTCAGAAAACAAATTTGTAGTGTTCCCAATGTGATACGAAGAAATCACAAACTTAGGTGATCCACAGCGGTTTTTATAAAGCCTCAAACAGGACGCGATTCTTTTGCGCCTCCCTATATGGTTGGTGACTGAAGGAAAATTTGTGCGAAAGCTTGAAAGGTTTACTGTAAGTCTGTAAACATTTTCCTCTCAGACTTCATCGTTATCCTCGGGTAAACACTGTCAAGGGCTTACAATTATTGCACACCTCATTATATATTAATATTATATGTCGTGTATACCCGGATCCCGAAATGATGGCAATAAAGCACGTCTTGCTTTCACGAGCTCTCTTGCCATCCAGCTCCATTTATTTTTTCGGAGCGAGACGAAAGATGTACCATGCGATCGAGAATCAGGAAAACTCATCTGCAGGATGAAGAAAGGATTCCATGTCGCTTCTTAGAAAGACACTTTCTCAACGGACACTTCTCCGGCCCTTCTTCAACTGGACATTTTGGCGAAAGCCTTTCAGAGAAGCGAAAGTGTCTTTCGAAGAAGTGACATGGAACCGAAGAAAGCTATGAATCCTTCTTGCATCCTTTAAGTCGTACGCGATCTTATAACAAAAATTGACTATTTCATTCACTCGTGGAAAGTCCAGGGTCCAGGGCAGGGCGTTCTTGAAGGGCGTTCTTCATCTTTGATGTATGGTAACGGTTCAGGTCGCGAAAAGAAAATCTGTTGCCTTCTACATTGGGAATCTTTCTCAGGCTGTGATTCATGTGGGTTCGCTGAGTATCTACAGCCTCATTAAGTGAGATTATGTCAAATTCGTCGTTAGTCAGCTCTCGCTACCAACTCACTGGTCAAGTTAAGGTTCTTTGCTTCTTATGCCGGCTATGAGAAAGTGACATAATTGCCATCGACCAATTATACTTTTCTGTTTAATATATGATTCGGTACTAAATTTTAGTGGATGTCCACCTCCATTCACCGCATGATAGATTTTATTCATCTAGGACTTTTGTAGAGGGGTGCGTTTGTTCTATATGCCATCGCGCAAATGAACGATGCAATCTGACAGTCAACTTTCACCTTTGTGATGTACAGCGCAAGTGATCGAGTCATTTTCTGGTTTAGCGGAAATGAAAAACGCCAATGATCAGTTCCTTCTCGGCTTTTAATTTTTAATCGATACAGACTTTTCTGTAAATCAATTTTTTTTGCATTCATTACAGTCTGGTCGCTTTTTCTGTTACCAAGCCAGTATTGGTCTTAACTAATTGTCTGTCGCTAATGTATTCTAACATTACAAGGTTTTTATGCCACTTAATTTGTAGAAGTGTGATTGTCAGAGGTGCATGGGACTGGGTTTTCCTGTGATAGGTAATGTCGATTATTCAAGCGTTACTCTGCTGGCAAATTTATTATTATTATTATAAATATTTATAAAGTAAAAATATAATAAATGAATCAAGAAATATAAATAAAAATTAGCTGTTCAGTTTCAACCATGTCAAACATGGAAGGAGAATCCTGTTCTCAGTTTCCCTTCTGAAGCAAACTTGAGCTGATTTCTCTCCTGAGGAATTCATATTTGAGGAATCCTCCCGGAGGAGACATGTAATCTTCACTATATCTGTTCCGTTCAACCGCAGTGCCAAAAATATGTGCATAAAATGGATTCATGACGTCACGAATGATGATGCCCTCGAGATGAGTTGATACGAAGCGATCAATCATAAAAGCTGAAAGTGGAAGGAATAAGCTACCCCATTTCAATTTTCTTCAGTGAACAATGATCGATGTTTCCATTATCCGCCGTCCTTTACCATGTTAACGTGATTATGTCCAGCAAATCGAACTCTTATCTTATCTCCTAAGTGGATAGCTTCAGATTTTCTTCAAAGAAAAAACATTTATTTCTTCTCCATTGAAAGAACGAGTCTTTAGGAGGAAGTCGTTCGCATGCTGTTCTGTGTTGAGAAGGGCAAAGAAATGTCAGGAAACAACTCTATCTCATGATACGTCAGCTTTTCCTCTACTTGCTTTCAGTGGAGAGTGGAAAAGATGAATTGCGCGACTGGGTCGAGGTGCAACGAGGACGGACCATAGCAACTAGGAAAATAGCCCACTTCATGCATGCAGTCAGGAATTCTTATTAATACTTTCAACCTCAATCGGCTGTAGGGTCATTTCATCACAAGTGCCCAAATTCCAAAAGCAAATGGGAGGCATCTCATGGTTTTTGCCGGGGATTTGGCGAGGAGGTTTGCCTCATTGAAAAAAATCATGCTTAGTATTGTTGCCATCTCACCAATGATTTCCGAAACATGGATTCTCAAAAATTTCACCCAAGAGTACTTCCATACGGCTGCCTAAGCACAAGTTTCTCAATATCTCAAGTAATATTGAAGCTGGATGTATGTTTCATGCCCCATTCCACGTATTTTGAAGGAATTGGTGTATTTTCCACTGTATTTCTTCGTTTAGTCATCAGAGAACCATCTCCATCTAGATAATAATTCCACTTTAATTTTTTTTCCCGGAAACTCCCTAATAAAACGTACACCCCTATCCACCTGGTTGTTTGACCAGGTGGGTTGGGGGTGGATTTGGAACCAGGTGGACGTCCCCCCCAGGTGGAAATCCTCTTATCCATTCGTACACATTATTTCGGGTCAGGTGGAATTTCCCTCCCGGTGGATTTTCCACTGGGTGGACATCGCTACAACAGGTGGAAATACCGCCTGGTGGGACATCCTCCTGGTTCCAAATCCACATGGGAGGTGGACGCTTAGTAAGGGCTCTCCCGCTGATCGAATCTGAGAGAAACGGATATCGATAGAAAGCTTGAACCTCAGAAAGTTTTGCGCCTCATTTTCGTCATGTGACGGCAACAAGAAGCTATGACCGATTTACATAGACCTAGGTTGGAGTAAATTAGTGGTTCGGTTGATAATGTGCCTGACTCATGACTGAGGACTCAGCTCCGAAATCGGCTGAGTTGGACAATGGTTAGCTGGATTGTCAGAGGGAAACATATTCATGATCGTTGCACTTATAACTATCATACTGTATCATATCGTACTGCGTGCAATAAGGCATTAGCGCAGATGCATGCAGGCAAGGACTGAGATAGCGTGTGTCGCGAGTTTACTTGCTTACTTGCTTATTGCTATTGCTATAGATGGGATTGCAATAATAAATTCTGGACTTTTCTGGGAGCTGTTATAGGTCGTGGAAGTGATTTATGGACCCCCAACGACGGCGTCGAAGAACTATAATGAAGGCGTAATGTCTGTATACAGGGCCATGGGCTCATCTCTGTAACAGATGTGCGGGGCCCTCCAAAGAGATTAGATTTTGCTTGATGATGTTGGCATAGGAATGAATCAAGCTGTTCCCATTCATATTTAAAGCTTAGATGTATTTATTTAGTTCATCCTAAATCACACATTGGTCTGTTGGACCGTTGGTCACATCTGGGGAATGAGGAGAAAAGAGAGAAAGAGAAAAGTGGTCATAGAGAAACATCAAATGCACGTTTCCAGAGAAAAATATTTATAACAAGTGCGAGGAAAGCCATCGAATAACGGAATGACTTATGGAAAATAGCAACAACGTAAAAATATCGTGACATTTCTTTTTATAGTGCCCCTTTCCTTGCTACTGCATGCTTTTCAACGATATTCACGGTTAATAATTGGCCACTGTTGACTGCACACATGACTTGATAAGATACCAATGGTACTGTAAAGCAAATGGGAACGGAGATTCATCGTTTTACTGATCTACGTAAAAAATAATCTTAAGTTCATGTCAAATGCTGGAAAGTCCATGTTATTGTATATTCTACATGTGCCAATAAAGTTCAATTAAAGTTTCATTGTGAAAAACGAAAAAGTAAGACTAAAATTATGTAACAATTAACTTTATGCACATCGAAAGAACTTTATGTAAAAATAGTGTAACATAGGGAAGAGTGTAGTAGCGAATGAGGTACCGTGACCATTAAATTTTCTTTTATTCTGTCCTGTCTTAATCCAATTATTCACCTGTACCACACATTTTACACTTCCAGGTGTCCTACACCTTTCTCCTCGGTAGATTCGGGAAAATATCAAGGTTTATCTGGCGAGCATGCTGAATCCCTAAAAGGAATAATAGAACCAATAAGTGAAGTTGAACACGATATATGCGAAGGGATAAAAGACGAAGGTATAAGAATCAAGTTTTGCGGGATTGATGAGGTAAACAACAGATTTCTGGTTAGAAGCTAGGCTACCAGGAAGCATTTGAAACGGGAGTCGGGCGAAGAGTGAACCATCAGGTGAGGGTGTTCGATTTATGTCCTTCCAGCGTTTCCCCATGTGGATTACGACTGAGAATTCTACGAGGGAAAAGATCCCAAACGCGATGCAAGCCATCATCCACACGTCGATCGCCTTCACGTATGACACCGTCGGCATTTGGGACCTGCAAAGGACGTTCCATAATCACTCCATGCGATGAAACATAAAGAAAGGCAATAATGAGGAGGTTGGAAGCATGAAAAGAGGCATGTCCCATTGCAAAAATGTTCTATCATCAGGAAGTAAAATACCATATAATAAATAAATAATAAAAACCATATGCGCTTCTTCCATTTGTCTTTGATTTAATTGTTTTCCCGTTGCTATTAATACCGTGAACAATTAAATTCTTATATGAAGGAGTTGAGAAATCTCAGTGAAATTGGGTGCATGAACTTCATACAATGTGTCTTGAAATCAGTTAGACTTCCAAGGACATAGGATAATTTTTTACCCGCAAAACTTCTCAAATTAACCTTATGTGTCATAGAGGTGCTTTGAAACACATCATAGTTTTGAGCGTCTGCCGTGCAGTGGACGGCGCCGCCGCCCCTCCAGCGTATCACAGCATCACTGGTGCTGTCCAGGCTGTTCGCTGACTACGAGCTACACTTCATGGTTGCTTCGGCTGTTGTCGAGGGAGGTTGTATTGCCAAAGCAAAGGAAACGAAAAAATTTTTTTCAAAAATGTTGTGGGAGCAGAAAGTGTGAACCTGAAGGTAAGAAAAAGTAGTATGCTGTTGTGATTATCTTATAGAAATATGGCAATCTTTCACGATTTCTTACGTGTTGGTTGGTAACGAAGACGTTTCAGTGGTGTATTTGAAAACACAGAAACACGGAAAACACAGGTTTACTTCTGAACATATGTGGAGTGTTTCCTTCTTGTTTTTTTTTTTCCTTATAGTCACAGAGGTGCTCAGAAACACACGCCTGGTTCAACCAGTAGCAGGCATGCAAAAAATCTGGGAAAAAATTTCAGGCGTTCCTTTGCAGCATTTAAGTCATGTGAAACCTAAAACCGCTAAAATAAATATTACAAAATAATCCCATGACGCATAGGGTTAAAGAGAGGTAGGGGGAGGAGTTTTCTTAATCAGTCAAAAGAAGTTTACAGAAGTTTGGGAAATGAAACTCCTAATGGCGTCTAATACACTATTCCAAGAAGAAACGGCACTCTTCCCGAGCTTGAGTGGAAATTACCCTCTCTTTCCTCGTTCATTGTTCGAAATTCCGCCCATCGATCACGACGAATTCCTTATGGTTGGGAGGTCTCTTTGTCCCCCTTGATTAATGGTAAAATATATGACGACTCGTATAGGAGTTTCGATAGGGTGATCGAGGAAAGATGGAAGGGATCTTCAGTCCGCTGCTTCTCTACAGCTCAGTTTGTTGGGTTTTTTTTGGGATGGTGTAACATCCAGGAAATTTTTGAGGGCATAGGACGAGTCAGTTCAGAGATAACATGCCGGATGCCCTAGGAATGACGGAAGAGGTTGGCTTCAATGAAAATGCATTTTCCCTTTTTTTCTTCCTTCAAGCCACTTCACAGGTCTTTCATTCTGGGACAGGTAGCCGACAGAAAAATGACAGGATGTACTGACTTCAAATGCCTGATTGAACTTCCCATCAACGTGTGTCATGAGCAGAGATAATGTCATCTTAGAAAGTCATCCTCGAAAAGAAAGAAGCAAAGAAATTTAATATACAAAGAAGAAAAGGTTGCGGCGGAACAACACAGATGGTGACATGTGATTTAGAAAAATTATATTAAAAGTATAAATAAAACACAGCGCGTCATTCGAGTTACGGCAGTTCAAACCTGTCACCATCATTCCAGTCTGAGACTGGAAAACATGGAATTGCTCTCACGGCTCCCGTTAGTCTCCTTATGTCTGCCTCCCCTTTTATGCCGACCAGATGCTAGCACTACAGACAGCACTAGCTGTAGCAAAATAATCCTCACCCGACGATATCGCGATCCATAGAAAACGTCACAATTTTTTATTTTATTGGGATTCTCAGCTTCCGACTACTCGATGTTTAGTATATGTTGTGAGTTCCATGTTTAGCAACACTGTGATGGAACACTCGGGCATGAAGATATCTTACGATTATGGATTGTATTTTCTGCGGTTTCGGACGGTGATTTTGCAGTTTTGGATCCTTGCAGCACTGACAGGTCACGTGTAAAATTTATTTTTAGTGCATTTAACGGGGTTACAGTGAACATAAATCAGGATGAGGATCTTCCCGCCCAGCTTTCCCCATTGGTCGAGCATCAATGAAAATGGAAGAAGAATGGGATATCAACTGACATGGAACAGTTTAACTCCTTTGAACAGTATTCCCGAATACGCCTCGCATACGTTACTGTATGCCAGTGCTGCCGACGGTACTCCTGTATATTTACATCACCCTATGATACTGTTCAATACAGTGTACATTTTTCATCACTCAGTAGTTATACACATTTTACTTCAAATCCTGAATAATGGATAATCCATTTGTAATAATAATAGCTCTCCAACAGTGTGTGTGTATACCGGATAATTCACCGTTCGATATGTTAATGTCACCTGGCTCGGGATATTTCGTCGTGGACTTGGGGTAGTCCGTGTAACTACTGTCTTAGAACATCTTGTCTCATGTAGGCAACGGCGGGGGAAATTATGCTCCGGGGTTGCATCGGGAAGGGTTTTGGGATTTTAGGTCGGGAATGTTTTAACGGGGCATGTTCTGTCTTGCCACTTTTCGAGACTGTCGCCGAACTCAATTTCGCCAAGTTGTTCGGGCGTTTTGGATCTTGCATCTTCCCTATTTGGGACGCTTAAAGTTTCATGCATGCATCATTTGACGCAGCAAGCAGAATACGGAAGTGTGACTTCACTGATGACGCCAGTTCCCTCTTCTTCCCTGGAGCCACCTCGTTATCGAGAAATTTTGAATGTTTGCTTTCACCAAATTAACACGTCTGATCGAGATCGGTTAGTTGGGGTGATGGTTAACGCCAGCCTTCAGTCAAGCCGCTGCTAATTGATTCTTGACTGGGACGCTCGTCTCTTGACTTAGAAATTGACACTCGCTGCTTTCACAATTCACTAATTCGTCATTTCTTGAAATCACCATGGCCATTCTTGACTGTGAAGACTGTGAATGCTGATCGGAGTCCTTCATCAAGGAAAAAGGTAACAAGACGAAGAAATTTATTATTGTTATCAAAACTGGCTGGCAAACCTTCTTTATTAGGAGCAACAATTTCTTTGCTTGGTTTGTCTTGTGGAACTTTTTTTTAGTTAGGTGATATTCGTAGCTGTAATTAGAAACAGTTTGTGTAGGGCAACTGCTGTTCTCTGTCTTGCTTCTGCTTGTTCATAATCATAAGACCAATGTTGCGAAATTTCACGTAAAAAAACTAACCGCCTCCTGGCCAAGATATTTTGGATTGATTTTGGTGAGCCAATTTGGGACCAGCATTGTTTTAAGTTAGGACGCCTCCCTAACTGTCAACGTCTGTTTCTTTCTTACCAGATCATGCACATACTGGCACAAAAAAATAAATCTTCACTGGATGGGGGCCTCAAAGATGAGTACTTTGACTCAAGTCGCCCGCCGTGCCGATTGTGCTCAAACGCGAATCAGAAGCCCGATCTCCTAGGTCAGGTTCTTGACTGGCTTCCGGGGCTGCACCCCGGGCAAGTGCACAGGTCGTTCAGTGACTCATGGACAGGCCCGAATTGAGTTTTACGCTGCTGTTGGACGTGTCCTCTGTATACAGTATGTGACGTTGTAGGTGGAGACAATATTCCCCTTTGTGGGTCCCCTGTAGTGCCGTCGATTGAATCCTCCACTCATACTACCAGTCATATTCTCATTTATCTCCTATTTAGTCTGTAGCATGAAATGATATAGGCTCCCTGCGGAACGTGAGACCATCTGTAACGATCGAAAAGTCAACTTCACCATTTGCAAAAGAATTGAAACTATGCTTCAATGATTTCAACAGTCTCATCTGACAGGGAGAGTCACGTGTAAGCAATGCAGGGTTCCCAATCCCGATTGATGGAAAACCCTTATTCTACATTCCTACATCTACTACACGACATCTGAAAGCCCTTCACATACTTTGAAAATCGTCTTAATCCCATTCTTGTTTCAGTTCTATTCGCGAAGCTCGAAATGGCAGCGCAATTTCAACTATGAGAGCATAAAACTCATTGGTCAAAATGGGATCGACACGGAGCACAACATCGGGCGCACATATTGTCAATACTTGAGAGCAACAGCGTCTTCGAAATGTAGGCGAAAAGGGCAGGTGAGAACTCACTGAAAGCCGGTGAACATGGTGGAATTGGCTAGGATGGTGGCAACGCAGACGAGCATTCTTCCTGGGACGTGCTCAGGGTTGATGAGATAACTCAGCCAACTGATGAGAACCAGCAGTCCCGATGGTACGTACGTCTGCAGCAAATAAAAACTCAGCTTCCGCGTTAGAATCACCTTCATGGCCACCTTGGCATACCTCCCTGCGGGCAGAGTATCCACAGAAGTAAACCCTCAATTTTCAAGAAACAAGCAACAGGCATCCAGGGACGTGTAGAATGGCGTCTGTTGCCTCATTCATACCTTCACTGTATTCATTATAGTGGCCCTCTTCCTGAATGGCTTCTGCTTCGAATCTGCCGACGGAATGGTGAGCTGAGTCGAGGTCAATGCCTGTTCCGCTCTCCACTGTCTCCCATTCATACGTGATATTCTCGTAGAATGTCCCATCTGAAGACACCGGATAAAAGAAACGAGATAAAGCGCAGAGAAGATACCCTCTAACACCGTGGTGTTAGAGGGTATCTTCTCTGCGCTTCATCTTCCAAACGTAAGGGGAAGGAGGAGAATGCATCCTGTAAATATATCTGCTCGAGAATAGGCGAGGGGAAATTATTTAATGTTATATTTAATTTACTGATTTGATAAATATTGATGATTTCATTATATAAGTCGTGTAATTTACTTATGATTCGCTTTTTTATAATTTGCTATTTAACGATAGAGATAGAGATTGTGCTTTCAGTAGTAGTAATTTGCACAACTTATGTTCGTAAAATAACTTGCAAACGATTATCTAAGAATCAACGTACCCAGCAAACACAAGAGCATTGGAGAAATGCTATGACAACGTTCACTTCTAACACTTCTAACGCTGTACCACCATTACAGCGAACATTAGCACAGTGTTGAAATGTCTCTTTTAGAAGCGCTCAAAATAACATTAATCCCGAGAGCGTTAGATGAACGCTATTCCTACGTCCATTTATAACATCAAATTGAATCAACGTTGATTCAACGTCATTTCGTCAACGCAGCTAACGTTGAAACCACGTTGCCTGTCAACATTGATTCTACCCATTCGGCACAACAACGTTGTATCAACATTGAGAGTAGGTTGAAACGTTGAGACTTGGTTGAAGTTGAGAATGCGACGAAAAATCAACATCAGAGAAATGCTAGCTATTCATAATTAACCGTATTTTCAGCATTTGGTGACTACTCGTGAACTAGGGAAGTCGTTCAGAGGCTATTAGGAGCAAATTAAAAAAAATCGTATTTTCAATGTTGTTTTTACGTGGAGTTATCCACATCATATCAACTAAAATTTGGTTCTACGAATCGACGCGAGATGGCACATAACCGCCAATTCCGCGATTCTTATCCTGATGCCTTTAAATAACCAGTACCCTGCGTTTTTCAGACAGTACCCAATCTTTTCCCCTTTACAGCATAGGGGAAGGTATAGGAATTCCTAGATAGACATGTTGAAGGAGGTAATCAGGCAGAAGGAGACCGAAATTACTTCTGGCTAGTGGGTCCGAAAAGACACGCTCAATTTTCCTAAATATCCACATGGCACGCGCCCTTACTCAGACTCATCCATGATGGGTAGAGTATAAAAACCATGCCCGCGAGATTGTTTCCCTCTACTGGATCGAGAGGTACTTGAGTCATGTAAGTACTCAATGTGAATTCTCATTCAGTAGAGGATATAAAACTCTGAGGGTCTTTTACGTGGGATGATTGTACTCGATAGAGTACTGCTACTATCTTGGGAACCATCTATGGAGCTATCGAGTCCATATTCAATTTCATCCGACAATGAAAGCTCATTCAAACCCTAGAATAGGGAGGAGGTACTATAATGCCCTTACGTTGAAAATTCAACGTTGACACAACGTCGCACAGCATCGACTTTTCAACGTTGAGCTGTGTTTCATTTCAACATTGTGGCAACATCATGGCAACATGTTACGTTGAAAAGTCAACCTTTTCTCAACATTGAGGCAACATTGCCATCAACCTTTTTTCAACGTCGACACAACGTTGTTGTGCCGAATGGG